GACTTACACTAACAAATATATGGATCTGGCATTTTTTAATATCTTTTATTATTTGGACCCATTGCTGGCCAGAATTAGCTTGCAGGACACAACTAAGATAACTCAACCTGCATAAAAAATTACCATGAAATTATGCCATAAATAGTYATTCAATGGAGTTTCCCCTGAGGGAATARGGAGGATYTCAGCTGATCACAACAATTAAATTSTGCACARTTTTGATTGAAAAGCAAGYTAATAATTTTACTAATAATGGAGATTTTTGTATTCTTTGCCCTAAACGTTTGCAGTTTCCAGGGCTGACAAGGAGAAAAGAAGAAAACCAGAAAATCCCAGGATTTCTGAGACTTTCCAGTGGTTCCAGCTCCATCTGGATCCCTTTCCCTACGCAGCCAGGGCTCAGTGCTGATGCTTAGACACACACCTGCTCCCTCCATGCACTTGCTCCATCAAGAAACAATAAAATTCCTCCTTTGCAGCCTCCAGACCAAATCCTAAATTGCTCTGCACGCTCTGGCTGATTTACTGCAGGCACAGACAGCACATCACAGCCAGAAAGGGGAAAAGAGYTTCACATTATGACTTAATTTGCAATTAAACAATTCAACTTTCTCTCTGAAGTTTCTCCAAGCTAAAATTACACACAAATACTCGTGCTATTCTGGGGAGCTGCAGCAGCACATCATCCAAAGGGTCTGGCCTGGTGGAAACATTCCTGTGCTACAGGTTAAACTCTGGGAAACCAGAGCAGACTGCTGAGGTGTGTGCCCCAGGGAAGAGGGGAAAAAACTGGGATTATTTAAAAAAAAAAAAGAGAAACAGGCAGCAGAGCACCTCTGTAATGCCAGAAGTGTGTGTGAAGCTTAGGGACACACCTGAGACCATCCCAGCACAGCTCAGAGGTGATGGCAGGGCAGTAAATGAACTTGTGCAACAAGGAATTTGTCACTCAGGTCAAAACCGGTCTCTGGCTGAACCTGGGGACGGAAAACTCGTGACATTTTTTTTAGGGAAGGGAGCTCAGACCCTGACTGAACCTTCTGCTTGCACCCTAAGAGCCCTCCTGAACAGAAAAAAACCCTCCAGGCCAACCCTGGGTGACGTGCACAGTTTTTGTCTACTTTTGTGACAAACAGTTTGGCTTTCAAAACCATTTCACCAGGCAAGGTCCCCAAATATTTCATTTTCAGAATGAATTCACCCAGCGATTTCAGGTGATGAACATCAAAATTAACAGGTCACACAACAAATTGCTGGCTTTCCATAGATTTCATTACCTACTCCACTAAATAAAGGTCAGAAATGCTTTAGACATTTTAAGTGGCTGAGCTTTGTTCCAAATAAAAGAAGCTGGCTTGGGAGAGAACACAGGAAACAAAGCGCTGAGAGGAAAATATTTCTTTTTCCGTGGTATTTCAGTAAAATAAGGTGCCAGTCAATCACTTTCTCAGTATTATACATTTATGCAAATTCCACGCCCACACGAGGGTTTTTTTGAGCTGATGAGGAAGTTGCACAGCAGAGGCAGCTCCGCTCCCTCGCCCCRACCAGACCCTCAGAGTCCTGGGAAAGCTCCATTTCAGTCAAATTCTGAGGTGTCCCTCCAGCAGGGCTTTCCTGCCTGCAGCAGCACGGACACAGCCGCAGTGCCAGCCCCAGGGGGATGCAGGAATTTCTGATTTTCACCCAGAAATAGGTCCCTGAATCCCYGCTCCCACAGGGTGCCAGCCAGCCCCCGCGGCTGCGTGATACAGCTTCACACCCAAACCCTGGGGATGGGACAGGAGGGCATGGAGGGCACGGGGATGGGGCAGGAGGGCACAGAGGGCACGGGGATGGAGCAGGAAGGCAAAGAGGGCAGGGGGATGAGGCAGGAGGGCACAGGGATGGGGCAGGAGAGCATGGGGATGGAGCAGCAATGGCACAGGGATGGGGCAGGAGGGCACAGAGGGCACGGGGATGGAGCAGGAGGGCATGGGATGGAACAGAGAATGGAGATGGGGCAGGAGGGCACAGGGATGGAGCAGGGATGGCACAGAGGGCAGGGGGATGGGGCAGGAGGGCATGGGGATAGGGTAGAAGGGCACAGAGATGGAGCAGGGAGGGCACGGGGATGGAGAGGAGGGCACAGGAATGCAGGAGGAGGGCACAGGAATGCAGGAGGAGGGCACAGGAATGCAGGAGGAGGGCACAGGAATGCAGGAGGAGGGCACAGGGATKGAGCAGGAGGGTATGGGATGGAACAGGGCATGGAGATCGAGCCGCGAGAGCACGAGGATGGAGCAGGAGAGCACAGGGATGGCACAGAGGGCACGGGGATGGAGCAGGAGAGCGCAGGGATTCAGGAGGGCACAGAGGGCACAGGGATGCTCTCACGAGCTGCAGGACCTGCACCCCTCGGAGAAAAGCAGCAGCAGCATTTCTGCACAAGGACCTGCCCCTGGCCAGCCCCACCTCCTGCATGGACACCCTCAATCCTCACTATTTCCTTCTCCAAACACACAGAAACCTCCCCCTCACAGATGACACAGGAACAGTGGCCAAGTGCTAACTGCTGACTGTCAGAGCTGCTCATCCTCCAGCCCTGACCCTGACCTGCACAGGATCCACCGYGGCACCAGCTGATTGCAGACACCCCAAAATGATAACTCCATCTGGATTAATAYTCCCAGCAGTGACACATGGAATTAGTTCTGGTAACTACTCCCAGGGCAGACACACAGCAGACTGAAAACTCCACTAATTCACTGACACAGGCACACAAATCAGAACGCTCAGCGCTAGAGACAGGACAGATCACAGGGCTACTGGTAAAACAAACACCATAGAAACAACACTGGAGAAAAGAAATAAAATTAAAACCTCAGCATTATCCAATTCAATGGTAATCTGCYGGGAAAGAAAGAAGGGGAAGAATTGAAAGCAAGGATTAGTAAGAGAAATGACACACAAATTTTACGTTAGGATCTTATACATCATTTAACGCTTTAATGCGGGCACGAGGGAGAGCTGCCAGCGCCGGGCTGGGGAGCAGACCCTGCTGGCAATGCTGTGCCAGGGAGCAGGCAGGATGTGCCCTGCCTTTGTTCCTGTGCCAGGGACAGACCGTGTGTGCCAGCTGACCCSGTGCCAAGGACTTCACCCTCGGGCACAGGAGTGTCACAGCCCTGAGCTGCAGCAGCAGTGCAGGRGCTGCTCCTCCACTCTGGGAGGAGAATTGCAGCTTTCCACCCTGCAGAACTGAGGGGAGAGAGCTGAGCCGGGCWTGAATGACATGTTTCAGCACAGAGGAACGCTTGGGTCTAGCCCACACTGTCAGCGCAGCTCGGTGCCTATTAAACACCGCACAGTATGCTCGCCGTCACTGAGCCATCCTGAGCGCCTGCCAAGCCAGGAGGCTGCGGCAATATGGAAAATTCAGAGCCTTCCCACAGCCTTCTGTACATCTGTGCTCTCGCCACGGGCTCTGCTCGCTGCCAGGGAGGAGCCCCAGCTGTRGGGCCGAGGTGATGGGAGCACATCCCGTGTCCTCCCACGTCCAGCAGGGCGAGGCACTGGGGATCTGGGCTGGGAGATGGAGCAGGGAGGAGGAGAGCTGGCCTTATGTAACTCAGGTTGTGCCAGAGAGCACCACGTGGAGCTGCAGCAGGAGCACAGGCGCTGCCAGAGCTTCCCCAGAGCTATAGGATGGACACGGGTGTGGGGGGACTGCTGGGAGTCCTGGCACAGGGACAGGGCATGGGTGACACTCTGCAATGAGAAAAAAGGATTGGGTGGGATAGCAGGAAGGAATCCTTCCCTGTGAGGGTGGGGGGCTCTGGCACAGGGTGCCCAGAGAAGCTGTGGCTGCCCCTGGATCCCTGGCAGTGCCCAAGGCCAGGCTGGAGTACCCTGGGCTATGGAAGCTGTCCCTGCTCATGGCAGGGATGGAACTGGATCAGCTTTAAGGTCCCTCCCAACCAAACCATTCCACACTTCAGTGCTTGTGAGGTCAATATGGTCCCAAGGGGAAGTTCTGCCACCTCTCTGTATGAAACACACCCCTACAGAGGCACTCCAGGATTTACTCTGGGCTTTTACAACGTAAGGCGTTCCTTTGCCTTCTTTTTTTGTTACAATACGGGATGATTTTAAAAACAAAAGGTGCTGCCTTTTAGGTGGCGACTAAATTCAGTTCTCTGAGTCACAAGGGAGAACAAATCCGACTGCACTGCTCACAGGCAGACAGCAAAAGCTGTTCTACTACTACTCACAGTCTATCTGTGAGCAATCAGCTGCCTCTTCCGAGTCGGAAATCACTTCACAGGCAGGCATATCCTGACTCCTTATGTAACCCAGCGACTGCTTCAGGAACTCATGCTTCTGCCACACTTGGAAGATTTTTTAGCATCTTGTGGGGTTCTCCATGGTCTGAATGGTGCAAGGTATGCTAACTGCAGCTTCTAGAAATACTGCTTTATCCAAGTTAGATGAATAAAGTCTAAGAAACTCCTGGAAATTAATTTCTGTTTTGGAAAACCTCTCAGTGGCAGATTGCATTAAAGGAAAACCCTCAAAGCTCTGATTTGGGTTTCACTGGTGCATAGAATAAACAGTATGCATCACCCACAGTTTTTATTTCTTAGGGTGATTTGGACAGTGGCTCTTGGCTGTTTTAACAGCAGAGGATACCCTGATCTGCTAAAGAAGTGTAAAATGTGATCYGTGGTTCCTCTGAATCTGTTACACCCCCAGTGCTGAACACCAGGGAATACCAGCACTCACCAGAGGATCACCAGCCCATTCCCAGGGGCAGCCTGACCCCTGCAGCCCCTCCTGGGTGGGCTGGTGAATGAATGGACGCTGGGGAGAGGACAGAGAGTGATGCCCAGCACGGGACTGTGCCACCTGAGCAGGGCAGGGCAGGACAATGTGCTCCAATCTGACACCCACTGTGCCCTTCCTGCTGAGCCTGCTCCCTCTAAATCCTCAGGGATGTGCTGCATCCCCTGCGTGTGCATCCCCTGCGTGTGCATCCCCTGCCTGTGCATCCCCTGCCTGTGCATCCCCTGCCTGTGCATCCCCTGCCTGTGCATCCCCTGCCTGTGCATCCCCTGCAGCTGCCTAGGGCATCCCTAAAGCTCAGGAATTTATCCCAAACCGCTGCTGCTGCACAGTGAGAAGGTCCCCAGGCAGAGCCAGGAGCTGGGCTGGCACTGGCAGCACGTGGGAAGAGCGTTGCTGGCAGGGCAGGGAGCACACCCTGGCCATCCCCACCCTCGGGGCATTTTCCTGGGAGTCTCCTGCTCCCTGGCACTGCCCTGTGCTCCCTGGCACTGCCCTGTGCTCCCTGGCACTGCCCTGTGCTCCCTGGGTGTGCTGGGAGCAGCCCACACAGCACAGAGCACGGGCACACCCACGTGTGCCAGGCTCCCAGCGCGTCCTGCTCCTGCCTCCTGGTGCCATCCCCAGCTGGCCAGGATGCTCCAGCTTCCTCTGCTGCACAGCATCTCCCTCCCTGCCAGCTGCTAGCAAACTCTGGAGGTTTTTCTCTTTTTGCTGTGAACTGAGCAGGAGGCAAAGCTCCAAACTGAGACAGCAGCTGCTCATGGGCACAGCCTCCCAGGGGCACAGAGAGCCCTGCCCCAGCTCTGCTTCCCCAATTCCAGCTGCTCCCCAACACCTTCAGGAGGGTGAATTCCTCTGTACCCACTGGGTGGCATGGGAAGAACCTCAGCCTGGCTGGAATTGCAGCAGAATCTCCAAATGCCAGCCTCAGCTGGCTGGAATTGCTGCAGAATTCCCAAATGCCAGCCTCTGCTGACTGAAATTGCTGCAGAATCTCCAAATGCCTGCCTCTGCTGACTGCAGCCACTTCTGGATGCTCAAACATTTGGGTGCACAAACACTCTCCTGATGTCAGTTAACAACAGGGCTGAACCACAGAAAAATGCTCTTCTCAACCAGCCAAAGGTTGTTTGTAGGAAAGGGGAAAGRAAAACCACGGGTGGGTGTACAGAGAGTTTCCATGTATAAATCACAAGATGACTCAGTTGTACACAAATTCAAATTAACTGCAAAATACCCTCTTCTTGCAAGGTTACGTGACCTGGTGAAGAGTCACCTAGACTCAGAAAGCAGATAAAGAGGTGATAGCTTTCACAAAAAGGTAACAAAATTGGTGTTTTAGAGTGCCAGCAACTGCAGGGATTAGACTTAAACTTGGCAGTCCCAAGTAGAAAAGCAACAGAAACAAGCTGAACTTCAAATATGATCTGAAAGGTATTAGTTGGCTAAAAATGTTTTGTTCCTGCTCCAGCCTAGAAGTGCTTACACATACAAACCAGATTGAAAGAGAAAGAATTTTGTTTCYCTTTACTGAATAAAGACAGTGTTGAACACAATGATGGACTGTACCTTACCTTTTCTCCATAGCCTCTATCTTTGGTCATCATTTCCCTGAGCGTCTGTAATACCTTAATGCACAGTTTCTCCTCATTCTCCTCCAGCAGCTGCTTTGTGTGCTTAATTAACCTGAAAAAAAAAAACCCATCAATCAGGTTAGTGCAAATATTCTAAAAATGGGGTAAGATATCCGTGGTTATCTTAATTGGTTCACGCTGCAAACAAGTTTTGGTTACACATCCTGGTTACAYAACCACTTTGGAGCATTCAGAGCAATACCTGACAGCTCCCAGGGAAACTGTGGAGGGAATTGCAGGCCCAGGGCAGGAAAAGAGCCCAAAAAATCCCCAGGGAGATCAAGGGCATGATGGTCCTCCAGAACAAGCACTTGGCAGTAAAGAATCTATTCCACTTGGTCAAAACACAGACTGGGAGCCCTGGAGCAATCTGAAATGGTGCAATCTGAAATCCCTAAACACAGCACTGGGGATTAACTCAGTGCCCAGTTTTTAGACCCTATACACAGAGCTCAGCCCTCCAGGAGATGGTGGCAGAAGATGGATTTGTTCTGAGTTGCCCTCTTCATGCCCTGTACCCTTCCCCTCTGCTTCACTCTAAACTGTGGTGATACCCATGACAAAAACCTGATGGATTCACCCAGCACCTCACCAACATCACTGGGGTGGTCTCAAAAGCTGGGATCAGTTCAAAATGAACTCATTTACACAACTGCTCAGGACATTTGCATCCTGCAGCAAACAGACATTTTTAAGCTGAGAATATAAGAATATTTTTAAGGGAGAATATATGAACCAGTCCTTCCCCATTCCCACAAGCAGCTTTTTCCCCCCTCCAAGGAGAAACTCTCTTGACCATAACACAAAATAATTATTTTTACAGGTATTTCAGAAGATATCAAGTGTTTACCAAAATGGGCAGGAGGACTCTGTTCTACAGGGCATGGGGAAAATTGGGAAAAAGCAAAACAAGCCAGATCTCCAAGACAACTTACTTGCAAATGAAACCTCCACTCTCACACTTCCTCCTGGCATCTGTGTTCTCTGGGAAGAGCAGCTCAGGCCTGTGGAGCACATCCACCAGCACCGACAGCTCTGCCTGGACCAGAGGGCGCAGCCGATCCTCCAAGGCTGACACGATGTCCTGGACACAACCAGGTTTGAACAAATATTAAAAACATAAACATTAAAAATGTACACGTTTATAGGTGAGTTAAGGGTATAAACGGCAGGAGAGGGACAGGCAATGAGGTCTGTGCAGGGTGAATGAATTAGAAAAGCTCAGGGTTTGAAATTAGAAATTTTCAGTGATTTGAGCAGTCACCTGCAGCCTCTCGATGATGTTCCTGTAGTCCCTGGAGGCAGCCAGCACCGAGTCCCTGCGGGCAGCATTCCTGGCTGTCATCCGCCAGTTCATGGCTGTTTTCTGCACGATGTTGTGGGATTTCAGGAACAGGTTGTTCACCTGGCTGTCCAAATCCACGGGGATCGCGATCGCTCGGCTTTTTGCTGCAACGAGGAAAGATCAGTGAGAACAGACCCTGAACCCACAAACCAACACAAACCCAGGGCAAACATCCACACCAATTCCTGCTACCAACTCCTTTTACAAACTCTCCTTGACCGTGTTTCCTCTCACCCTGTCAAGTGACACCACAGAAGGGTTAAATTATATATTAGGAAATCAGGAAGTATTTTTTTCATGGAAAGAGTTGTAAAAAGCATTAGAAAGGGCTGCCCAGGGAGGTGGTTATAAAAAYCAGTGGATGTGGCACTGGAGGACATGGTTTAGTGGTGATCACAGTGGTGCTGCTGGGTGGATGGTTGGACTTGATGGCCTTAAGAGATCTTTTCCAACCTTAACCATTCCAGAGCACTCTGAGTGCATTTTAAACAGTGCTCAGTCCCCGTGCAATGGGTCAGGCCTGGGCAGGATTGTGTTTAGAGGTTTCCACACCTCACACCTGCTACTGTCTCTGAAGTGTGGGAGTAGGAATCTGTCCCTGGCACACAACAGCAGAACCTGACCCCATATCCAGTGCAAACTACTCTTGTGGACACTGAGAGTGGAGCAAATTTACAGGCAGGAGTGGCACTGCAAGCTGTGCCAGGGGAGGGGCAGGGTGGACAGCAGGAGGAATTTCTCCATGGAAAGGGTGGTCAGAAAGTGGCAGGAGCTGCCCAGGAGATTTGGAGTGCCCATCCCTGGATGTGTCCAAGGAATTCCTGGAGGTGGCACTGAGTGCTCTGGGCTGGGGACACAGTGGGCATGGGGCACAGGCTGGACCTGATGATCTTGGAAGACTTTTCCCACCTCAATAATTCCACAAAAACCATCTCCCCACTGCAGATCAACAGGACTGCAGGGAGTTCTGAGATCAGGCAGAGAAAGCACTCTGGGTGACAGTGACAACAGCCACTGCTGATCCACCATGKCCTATCAGCATAACCCTGGCTTTGGACTGGACCATGATTTACCCCCAAGTGTCCTCTGGTGCAGCAAACTGTGCTGTCCCTGTGTGTC